AGTTCCTTCAAAAACTGTGTGCAAGTGTACCTAGAAGAATTGATGCTGTTTTGAAGGCAAAGGGCAGTCACACCAAATATTGATTTGGATTTCTCTTCTGTTCGCTCACTTTGCATTGTGTAAATTGACAAACATAGTTACAATATATATATATTTGAAAGCATTCTTACTTTACAGCATTTTTTCACACCTGCCTAAAACTTTTGTACAGTACTGTATATTCCTGTTTTGAAGAGCTGGAACCTATGTTACAAATACTATGTAGTTTCATTACAACTGAAATAGCTTCAAAGGACCAACTTATTATCATATAACTTTCATTTGTGTTACTCTGTGGCTTGTTATGAAAATATTCCTATGCTATTCTCGGTAGCTGACACTGGCATAGACATCTCCACAGTAAGCACCAAACTCCTTTGAAGACTGGTGTTTCCTATTACGGTTCTAGTAAAATGAAGAAATCCATTCATTTATTTAGGAGAGTACGTGTGGGTTTTTGATTAGGGTTTTTCGTTATTTTAGTGTTACTTTATTATGTGTTTTATTGTTATACTTTACCCTGGACAGTTTATTGTTATTTCTGTTATACTGTGAATATTTTAAGTGTATTCTGTAAGCTGCCATAGGTCTAATTGGATTTGGCAAAATATAAATCACTCAGTCAGTCTCTACAGCATCGGCATGATATCTGTAATATATGCTTCAGCCTCAACTCAGCATTAACAGTGACCCCTGCTCCAAGGTATACAAAATGAATAAGCAATTTGCAAAGACGGTCATTTTTTTGATGCTCTCTGAGCTTGGTTGTTTGCTTGCAGATGTTTTATTACCCAGCTAGGTAACATCAGTGTAAGTATAGGCTTTGCTGCCTGTTGATGTTACCTAGTTGGGTAAGGAAACGTCTGCAAGCAAACAACCAAGCTCAGAGAGCACCAAGAACTTCTAATGGTAATTTTTGTCAGATTCCTAGTACATTATGATGTCAGTACTGCTGGTGATAGCAAAGGATTGATATGAGGCTCCTGAAAGTCCTGCGTGAGGCTCTGTGAGCTAGTCTAAAACTCAGAGCTACATTATTAACAGAAAATTAAAAACATGGGGAGCAATACTATAAATGCTTTAATGAATTTAATTATAATTTAATTATATTTAATTAAGCTCTGGCCTGGCTCCAGCAACGTCAAATTTAGTAATTTCCTAGCTTGTTTCCTCTTTTATTCTACTCCTCCTATATTTCAAAATGTGGCCCGTGGTGAGCCACTCAAGTATGGCACTTCGTTCAAAAAAGTTTGAGAGCCCCTTGATTCAGCTGAGATAAAAATATAACCACATACATCAAGAAGAAAAATAAATGGAATGTTTCAGATATCAGGAAGAACAGAGAAACACACTTACATAATTGCTTAAGATACTGGAGGTGTTTTAAACAATAAAAAACTGCAAAAAAATTGCTCTATAATAAAATTCAATGTGTGGCTCAACTTGCACCTTTTAAAACATTAATAGTGTGACTCCAGAATGCTTTAGGGTGAAGCACCATAAATAAGGGCTTAGTGATCAGCCATGGCTTAAAATAGAAAAAGACAAAATTAGTCTCTGCTTTCAGTGACTGATTTGAACAGGTGTTTATAAGGAAGCTATAATAGAAAAGCTTTATTCATGCCTGGAGAATTGTCCTTATATAACAGTAAGCTTAAGATGTACAAAAGAGAAAAATACAACATTAAACACCTTTTTTTCTAATAGGCATTATGATGTATTGGCTGGTAGGAATTGCATATTAAAAGAGGGTTGGTTAGGAAAGAACAGTTTTATTGTTGATTCTAGTTGCAGGTTTATTTTATAAACAGAATCTCATTATTTATGAAGCACAATTAAGGGGAAGGGAATGGCTCTGCAGGGCTATGCTCAGCTCTTTTTTGATCATCATATACCCAGGCTATGAAATATGTACATCACGCTGTTCCCTCTCAGGAAAAGTAACATTATGCAGAATGCAAAAAAAAAAAAAAGAGGAGTAAGAACTAGGAAGCCAAAGAAATTAAAGGCATGAGACAAGGGAAAAAAAATAGCTAAAATTAGTTTACCCTAACACCATTCATTCTATCTGTCCATAACTTTCTGTCCTTGCTTCCATGACATTCATCAGCTGCTTCACGTGGAGCCTTTTAAACTTCTCACCTGTCTTTTAGAAGGTATCAACTCTACCTAACAATGATTTCTACTGTCTTCCTGTTCCTCTTCCTTCATGTATTTGTTTTGCAATTGGATCCTCATTCATTCTCTTGATATGACCAAATCATCTCAGCATACTCTTTCATACTGGTCATTCATTTTGCATTCAAACCACTTCATCTAGTACCCATTCATTGTTGATCCTATCTCTTCTATTACCACATTCCTACTGCATTCAACTTTTTTGTTTTATGTACCCAATTTTCACTTATATATAACAAAGAGATTATTCTTATACACAGCCATTTTGATTTCATTAGGCAACAGTAATTTCTCATTTTTCCATCGTTATTAAGCACTTTACCAATGTAAACAAATTACCTACTTGCCCTAGTTTTTCACCATGTATGTATAACTTGCAATTATTCACTCAATTTTCCCCATCAAACATAATTACCTTGGTTTTGGATACATGAACTTTCAGATCCATACTCTTGTTTCATCATACTATCTAATATTTGTTGCAAATCATTCAAGTTCTCAGCCCACAACTTAGAGTCATCTGCATATAAAAGTACATGTCCATTCCTGTTCCCTACTGATGCACCTCTAACATGATCAGAAGCATTCCTCATGCACTTATCCATAAATACTTTAGACAAATAAGAGGGCATCACAGATTGTTATCTCAGTCATTGCTCAATGTTGAACCATTTGCTAAGCATTTCATTTAAGCTTTAATCGTATACTGTTCTTTCTGTATTCATTAACCAGTCTTCCACTCCACATACGCACATAACTTTCAGTAATGGAAGCCTGTTCACTTTATCATACATGTTTCCTAAATCAACAAACACATTTTTATCACATTAATACATTTCCAATGATGTGCATTAGTAATCAAAATAAGGGGTTAGCCTTGGAAAGATCCCTTCTAGTGAAAGTAGATAGCTGTGGGCTGGAAGGATTAGCTGTTGTTATCAGACAGTTCTCTTCATCTCAAGCCTAATTAATTTTTTTTTAAATAATATACTCAGAACTTATTTCAAACTATTGTCTTTTACATCTTATAAATGTCACACCTCATTGGATTTTATCTCCAATATTTTCTTGCCATTCTTACTGCTGAGGAATGGCACACGGGATAGTCTTTTTACTGAAATGCTCAGAGGAGAGGTAGGAGGAGGAAGATAATTGCTTCCTTCCTTCAGCTGAAACAGTCCTGAAGAGAAACTGCAAGCAACATTGTAAAAAAGCTCTGTGTCAACAAGATACTGAGTGGATTTGAGTTCATTTAAGAGGAACTTAAATTGTTGAAAATAACGAAATTGGTGTTTGTATGGGAAATATTCCCATCATGCCCCAAAGACTGTGAAATTCTTTGTTGCTTGCAATGAGCAAAGTTGTAACACTTATGACCTTTTAATTTTTAAAAAAGGAGGCAAGCAAGCAAACACAAATATACACCTCTCTCTCTAGATCACCTATATAGCAAATCACTTTGATTACATTTGAACTAACTCTCTGACAGTTAGTTCAAAATCCTTGTTTTTTTCACTCTTCTTAGTAAAATCATTACATTCATATTGCCAACACAAACATACATACAGTAATTCAGTTATTCTACTAAGATGGTGTCTTGTGTTTAGTAAAGCTTATTTATCATATATGTGCATAAATCTGTTTCTCTTTCACAGTGCTGTTTCTCTGTGAAAAAGTTCTGAGAATGATCTTCAGGTATATACACATATAACTACAGGTTTCCTTACGCATTAGAAAGGCTAATGGTACACCTTTAAAAATTCAAAGCACTCAAGAAATGTTACGTTAGTACTTACCAAAGTTGTCCATGGACCATCAGTGCTAATTCTTAGTCTAGCAATAATCAAAAGGGGGATCATTTTGACCTGCATTTGATTTGCAGATGTTTCGTTTGCTGCTGCTGAAGGAAGCAGCTCTATGGGAGAGACCGTGGCATCCTTTGTAGCAACTACTGAATTAATATGGGAACTGCTTAATATTTAATACTCTCTGTTCTGTAAGGGGGGGTGGGGGTGAGAAAAACAACCTGTCTAGCCCAAAAATATTCTTAGGTTTCCTTTCATGCACGGTATGTTTGAAATCTGTCCACAAATTTTTAATAATATTCAAGTCTGAGGACTGTAAAACCCATACCAAAGCCTTTATCTTTTTTCCCCTGTAGTACTTCATGGTTATTTAGATCATAGTTTTACCAAAATGTCTAAACTTTTTCTGCTTTCAATTTCTTCACTGACTATGAGACAGCTTAGAGTATTTTGGAATTTAGTTGAATCCATTTTTCCATTGACACAACAGTTCCTGTGCCACTTGCTGCCACAAAACCTAATAGTATAATAAAGCCATCCCCAAGCTTAATGGTCAGCAAGATCTTCAAATGCCTCACCCTTTTTTCTCCAAATATATTTTGTGTGCCTGGGCCCAAACAATTAATTTTTTTTAATCAGTCAAGACACTTTCTTCTGAAACGTTTCAGGTTACTAAGGCTTTATTTTCCATACTTTAGACAATAAACTTTGTGATTATGTTTGTGGTAAGGTTTCCTTCTGACAGTATAGAGGTGTAAGCAGCTAACCTTGAAGAAGGAATGCAATAGTGGTTAAGTAAACATTAATTTAGCTCAGGAAGGGAAGGGGGGGTGACAAAGAATCTCAATATAACCCTGCACTGATTCTCTTTGGTATAAGAGGGGCAGAAGAAAATTCTGTCAGGCTTCCAATATTCTGTTATTAGACCTTACAACAATAACAGAGTTCCAGTGGTCCTTGTGGTGTCTATTTCCTGACCTGGCCTACCTGAAAGGGCTGACCCCCCTGCAGATCACTTTCATATAAACAATGCTTACATAAGGATCTGAGGTCAACTCTCCTGTGTTGGCTAAACTTTTCAGTAATGGTCTGTGAATTCTGTATCTCAGATCTGACAAATGTGGGGGAAGTTTAAGCAAAGATTTTTCTTGGCCTTTGAGATCGTCTCTTGACTTCCACAAGCCAGTGTAATTTTTATTTCTTAGCAATGTTTCTCACACTTGAAATTGCTAGCTGAAAATATTTAAAAACCTTTCCCTGCTTTGTAAGAGTGAACTATCTTCATTTTCAAATGCCCAGACAGTCATTTAGAGGAACCCAAAGTTATTGAAAGTAGAAAGAACCACAATGACAACTGAAGAGGCTGGGAAAGTCAGAGTATTCACACACTTCTGCTTTCTCCTGGTTAATTGTAGGTCTCAACAAGCCTATTACCTTTTCGGGCCTTACTAACAATTTTAAACTAAAAAAAGTAGCATTGAATTAACTCAGTGTCCAAGCTTCAGCACCTGCCATATTTACTACTTTATTATTTTGAAATAAACTGCATATAAATATACATTTAAATTTGCATCAAGATTTCATGGTTAACCTTCTACCACGGGGTGCTTCCACATGCAGCTGTACATTTCCCCCTTTCATAAATATAGTTTATGAATTCCTGAAAAATTTTACTATGTGGATGAAAAATATGAACAGTTCAGTAACAGAATTACCAGTTCAAGCCATTATTACTAATATGAATATGTGATGAAAGCAAGGGAGAATTACCTAGGCTTGTACTTTTTAGTGCATCCATGAATATATTTTATATAGATTATAAATTGATGAAAATATTGTAAACAATCTAAGCAATGAAGATTTTCTTATACATTCTATACACTTTCCAGCCATCTAATATATCTCTTTCAGCTATTTCATTAGCTTCCATGCAAATTGCATGAGATACCTTGTATGTAGGGAGTACAGTTTATTCTGAATTTTCTCTTGATTTTCATGGAAAATGTCTAGACCATATAAGACTGCAGGAATATGAAGCCCACATTTAGGCTTAAACAAATTGTCATTACCCTCTAAGAACACATGTCAACAACAATTCTGACACTGATATAAACTACCGGAAAATAAAGGACAGCAGGAATGTACTATCAGATATGTGAGTCTCTTATTATTAAGAGATAGTCTTTAGCTTTCATAGAATCATAGAGCTGGAAAAAATCTTAAAGATTATCTAGACAACTCACTGCTCAGTGCAGGATCTCCTAGAGTAACTCTGACAATTGACTATCCAGCCCCTGTTTAAAGACCTCCAACTAAGGAGAACTCACTTTAGTTCTTAGTTCATGTGGCAACTTGTTCTGCTGGCTGACATCGCATATAATCAGGAAGTTCCTCCTGATACATAGCCTGAACTTAAAACTTCCTTCCTTGAAGTTTTAACCCACTGGTTCTGGTCTTTGGGGCAACACAGAACAAGCCAACTTCCTTTTCTATATAATAACCCTTCATATATTTGAAGCCTACAACCATCTCCTGTCAGTCAGCTTGTTTGTAGGCTAAACAGCCTTTAATCATTCCTTACAGGGCTTTCAATCCACCATACTTACCAAACTGATTTCTTTTTCCACTGAAGAGAAGTCATTATTATCCGGATTCTTTGGTGCAGAGGATTCCAATTTCTTTAATGATTCTTTGGCATCTAACTGAATCCCAGCTCTGGTGGGGCTTGGCTTCTGAGCTGATGCTACTGGTTTAAGTGCTGAAGATGATGGGTTGGTACGGTCCTCGTCTTGCCCAAGCTCGAATGGATACATTGTTGGATTAGTTTTCACATAGTACCCATGGTAATGATCGTGCAACTCTCCATTCTCTTTGCTCTTGGGATTGTTGCGGGGTGACAACTTTTGATGGTGTTTGGCCGTCACTTCCTCTTTCACAGCAGGCGCTTTAGAAAAAACAGGTTTGTGGATTACTGGTACAATGTTTTCACTTATTACATTCTTTTTTTCTTGAATAAGTCTGTCTTCTGAGGTGGAATTCTGTTTTCTTCCTTGTTCTGCAGAAGAAGGCTTAGCCGAAGGGGCTGAGCTATGCTTTTTGCTTTCTTCTGGAGACCCAGGAGGTGTAGTGCCCTTTCGATAGAAATGAGGAGATTCTTTTGGTGCAGGAGATTTTTCCTGAGCTTTTTCTTCAGGTATTTCCTTAATTTCCCCTCCTTCTTGAAATCGCTGCTTAATATAATCAGGGCCTGAAATTAAAAACAAGCCAACAATAACTTGAGTGAAGTATTAAATTATTGAAGCAATGGGAAGGAAATCCATTGGGTTTCTCACTGGAAATCCTTATTTTGTCCCTGTCACACAAAAAGCAAAGATACTCATAATGCCCATAATAAAAATGCAAAAATCCACAATGGGAGTAATATCCTAGTAATATTTTGGGATTGTTATTTTCGGTTTCCGTTTTGTAATAATGAATTATTTTCCTTGAGAATTAAACATTTCCACATTTTCTTAATATGTAAGAAATCAGACTTGGTTATAAGTATTTTTATATTTGTGTCCTCCTTTCAATAAAGACTATTAGTGATAATCAAACACACTTCAAACATTATTGTTTTCCTGATCTGTGACCTTGTCAGTAAAATATATTTGGAATTTTTATATCAGAACTTGTATTCTAAAACTCAAATAATTGCCACTATATTTCTATGGGAGTATTCATAGATACCATTTTAACAAGTAAATCCAAGTACATCAGTTATTACATCCGTTAGCAGAAATAAGAGTTAACTTTAAAAATAGTTAACTGTGAACAATGTTGAATCAGAATTGTTATGAGTAATATTATCAGTGGGAATTCAAATTTTCCACTATTTGAAACATGCAACTTCTGCAAGGCAATGAAGACTGCAAGATCAGTTTTCCAAAGCAGCTTCCAGAATGAAATCTCACTTATACCATTACTATTTCTTTTAATTCCTTTCACCTTGTCTCCATCTTTCCAGTACTGCAATTGCCAATATCCAATGCAGACATATGCAAGGAAGGGACTATCACTTTGCTTCTCCATGACGTTCTGCTTTTCCATACACAGCCTAAAATAGAATTAGCACTTTTGCAGTTGTATCACATTTCAATTACATGGGCTGAACCTGCAGTGTTTGGCAGTTAACTTGGACGGGTGTAGGATCAGGTTTCCCATCTAATGTGCTGACTCCTATCACCTCTAAGTTAGTTTCACAGCATTAATTTTGATTAATTCAAGCTTCTTCCTTTCACTCAATTACTATTTCTTTCTATTTTCTTTTTTGCTATTATAAAAGCATTGCCATTCCCAATCTCACCTGTATAATAAAAGCAATTTAGGTGATTTTTATTATTTTTTTTGGTAGTACTAACAATATGTCTCTGTGCTTTTTCGAAGTTTTGTTCATTTCACTGGCATTCAATTAAATAACAATATACATTCAATTGTAATTAAATCCTTTGCTATGCATTTCTGCTATGGTATGTATATGTGTATGTGTGTGTATGTATATATACATACATACATACACATACACCCACCCACCCACCATGCATACATACCCATAAACCCCTAGATTAGCTAAGTAGCACTTCCTTTAAATCTTACTCAAAGTTCATGTCTTTAAGTGAATAATTAGAGCTGTCCTGTTTATCCAGTTTATATTTCCTGATCTGCACATGTACTAGGCACTGCACATAAAATTAACTGCAAAGTAGGGATTGTCCTATAAGTGGCAGACTGAACAAAAGTTTGTTCTAATAGTGCAAAAATACCATGTAACTCTAACTATGATATACAAATACAGGTTACAAAAAATGTCCAGCATTCATACACCAAACTACAGTGAGTATTTTCAGAGCAATTCCCCCTGCTCCTGAATCTATTAATAGCAATACAACAGCAGGTTAAAAAAATGCAGTATTATTATATTCACCTAATACGACCTTCCCTGGTGTTCTCCAGATATGTTGGGCTGCAAGTCCCAGAGAAATCATCACTATAGCCTAAAAAGTCCAACACTGTCCTGAAAGGCCCTAAGTGGAGGAAATGCACATTAAATGTTGTAGAAGATAGAAGGAAGGCCATGAAGACCTGGGTCTTCCCCCAAGCATTGGGCTAGGATGGGGGTTTTGCTGAGAGGCTGTTTGGTCTGGTGCTTGGGGGAAGGGTGGTTTTGTTTTTATCTGTTTTAACTGATTGTTGTGCTGCCTAGGAATTATTATATCAGATAGGTGGCCATATAAGTTTTGTAAGTGTATAAAATAAAGAGAGATGGGCCTCTGGGGAGAGACTTCCCATAAATGGCCTGACCACAAGACCCTACTGCCCCTTGCCAATCCATATAACTTAAAAGGCAAAAAATGGGGACTGACACTTGATATATGGCAACTATGGTAAGAACGGGGGATATGTTCTTCCATAAAAAGCAATTGAATTTTCCTACACTTAGCAGTTATCAATGTGGAGAGAAAGTAGGTCCAAATATATACATAGCTTAAGACTGGAGCTATCCAATTTCTACTGTCTTTATCCATAGCCACAGAACATAGCCAAGGCTGGGATTCTCCACAATGTAGGGTCTGTGAAATGGATAAGAAGCACTCTTCTTTTAGTCTATAAAAGATCTGCCATGTGCCAATATGTTGATAGAACAACAGACAGCTTAGTTTAGAAGGGTTTTTTTTTTTTTTTTGCTGTCCTCAACAAAACTGGAAGCATGGGAATTAGGATCCAGAGAAGCAGTAGTATCTTGCAGCAGCTGGTAAACTGGATCTTCTGCATTGAGATAACTATTGAATTAGGTTAAGAGACTGCACGATTCAATTAATCCTTAGAGGAACAGACTCCTTCAGAAGGAAGGTAGGAGCTTCTGAGTGTTGGGCAACAAATAAATGGAAAAGCCTACTAGATCAAAGAGGCAAAATCACTGCCTTCTAAAATACTAGCATGAATCTTAAAGAATGGTGAATGGAGCATATCCCTAGGTCTATGGCAGTTGCGATATTTTGGGGATAGGGCATCTGAAGATGAAATTCTAATCTGTGATGTGATCATCGAGGTAGATACCATGTGCAAATCTGAAAGTGACTCTCTGGCCTGAGAATGGACCAGCAGTGTAGCAGAGATCTACTGATATCTCTTAAGAGATTATCACATGGACTCTAGAAGAGGCAGAAAGTCCCCAAGAAACTTTTGGCACATGGTAGGAGCACTGGAAGAAGATGAAGGTACAGTAGCCTTTAAATATGCAAATCTAAGAGCTTGTTCTCCAAGAATGGCATGCAAATAGGATGAATGATTGTGGCACACCTGGTTAGTAAACACTTGTCTGGACACTCCCAAGGGCTAAAAGACGAAGATTGTGCCTAAGTGAGAATGAAAATTTGCTTCTACAACACTAGCACTTATGATATTAGCCTTTGAAGTCATAAAGGTAAAGGCAGAATACTTGTCTACAAGAACAGTAAAAGACAAAATGAAACAGATAAAAGAACTCTAGGGTTTAGAAAACGAATATGCCATTGCTGGGGCAGTCTAAAGAAAGCATGTGTATAAACCACTCTTGAAAAAAAGACTAGCGTCTGTTCCTAAGTCAGCTCTACAACAGTAGTAGAAAGCCTACTCTATAAGATAAAAAATCTCTCATAACTTCCTTATCACCATTTTCTCTATGTAGGCTAGCATGGCTAGAAGCTTCCTCTGCAAATACAGATCCTGAGGACAGGATGCAGTGCCTCACTAAATAATATATGGGATATTTTTGTGTTTCCCTATTTGTGGTAAATGGCATTTTTCTTTTCTAGAAGCCAGGATAGTATTGTGGTTAAGGTATTGGACTTGGACTAGGGAGAACAAGGTTCAAACCCCTAGTCAGTTACTGAGATCACTGGGTAAGACACTGATTCTCAACTTCACCCAGTGTGGTGAAGATAAAGTTATGGAAGACTACATACCCTTGACCTTCAGGGGAAATACAATTATAACCCTCCAAATTATTCTCAACTCCTTTAAGGGCACATACAGCCTTTTCAAATATATAATACAGACACGGCCAGGTAGATGGTAATACTTAGCTAACCTTGGCTAAACTCAAAAAGCTATGCAGGGTTGAACCCAGCATGGTATTTGGATGGGAGCCTGTCAGGAAACCCCGGGGCTGTAAGCTAGAGTTGGGAAGCTGAAAAACATCCCAAGGGAATGCAGTGGTAAGCCACTTCCCTGTTGTTAAGAGAAACTACACAGGCATGTCTATGAAGTCAGTGGCGTCAAGCATGACTTGAAAGGGATGTTGCTAATATACTTTCATATTCCTAAAATAAATAAAATACCAGTCTTTCCATCTGGGGCTGAAGAGGCTACATGGGATTCCTTCAGGGGTACTGTTAAATGGCTCTGAAATATTGGGGAAAGGCAAGATACAAATCTTTCATATTGACCCATAGGATATGCTCTTGGGAACTTTTGTATTTCAATGTACATAAGTAAATGAACTAGGAAATCTGTAAACGCTAAAGATGCTAATGTGATGACGAATTATACACCAAAACTCTGGACTCTGACTGTCTATGAGGGATTATGGTTGTACCCAGCCTGGGGTGGGGGTGGGGGGCAGGTGGCAAAAAGAATTACACTGAGAAACTGGAAAATTGCTATTATTTCAGACATTAAGGACTGGCTTTTGGAAAGGGAAACTATATTTTCAACTAATCATAGAATGAAACAATATGTTCTTTGATATAGGTGTGATGGTATTTTACAATAATACAGTGGCATTAATAATAATAAATAATTTATTAAATTTATATGCCACCCAACTTCCATGACTCTGGGTGGTTTACATTTAAGAGCAAAAATAAATAAATGAATAAAAAAACAAGAACAAAAATAATAAACAACCCCCCCTAACAATAAAGATAAAAAGAATGAAGGCAAAGAAAACAAGCCCAAAGGGGAACAAAAAGGAATAAAGGGGCATTACTCGTCTCCGAAGGCCTGGTCTTTAAGGCTCTTTGAAATACCAGTAGGGTGGCAACCATTCAAATTTTGGGGGGAACCTCATTCCAGAGGGCAGGCGGTGCTACAGAGAAGGTATGTTTCTGGCGTCCAGACAGATGGCATTGTTTAATTGATGGGACCCGGAGCGTGCCAACCCTGCCGGGTCAAACTGGTCGGGCAGACACTATGGGAGACAGGAGTATCCTCCAATAACCATCTAGA